CCCAAATTAACTAGCCTATCCAGCTCCACAAATGTAAGTTAAATGACTTAAAAGAGGAAAAAAATAATGATTTTTTTATTATATTAACAGATACAGTAACATGCTCTTGTTTGGTAGTAATAACCCATCATGTATAAATCAGGATAGATGTCCGTTTGTCAACATTTCTCCATGAATGTCTTGGCACAGCCAGGCACAAGACAAAAATGCGACAGGAGTTTAGTCAAGGGAAACAAGGGAATTCAGTGAAGCTATAAACTATATAAACTAAAACTTACCATCCGTGCAGCTGCATTAAAACGTGTTAGCAGACTGTATTTCCAAGACCAGAAGAAATTTTAATCCAAATCAATGAAATCCGCTGCGATTCTCAAGTCGAGTCCTTCAGGAGCGCCTGCAGTGATCTGGGGGAAAAGTACCACATGCACACCGAACAGCTGAGCTGTTTTCGTCTGTGTCTTATTGTAAAAAAAAATCTCCTCACTTTTGGTCAACTCTGACAACTCTTTCACAAAAGAGGCAGCAGTAACAGTAAAGGCTCAGTTTTAACACATGCACGCAATTCGCTGTGGGGAATGACGCAGAGAGTGGGCGGAGCAACACCGCTGCTGCTGCTGCTGCTGCTGCTGCTGTTTAATTAGCTGCTGCTGGATCTGATAAACACAGAGCAGTTGTTAAATGCCTTGTGGTAAATTGATCTTCTAGAGACATATTTGGAAATATAATTTTGTATTCAAACTGAGAGCCCATAGAGACAGATGTGCCTCGTTTTTTACATTGAATGTCTGGACTGTGTAATGTTAAGGGGTAATGACTTTTGAACAGTTGATATATTTCACTATATTCTCTTGTGATGTTAATCTGTTATATTCTGGTTTCATCATTAACAGCAAAAATTAGTGATAGAGATTCATTTTTTACCAATTAATTGATCCAGTTCATTAAATTCAAGTACTTATATAAAAACACTTGTATAAGTACATTTCGGTCACTATATTCTACAATTAAAAGTATGACGCATAACCTCTGGGAATCCCCAGCTGAGTTTTGTCTGGGCATGGCAAATCAGATCAAAAAACCTTTTCGGACCAGACTTGCCCTGCCTTTAGTCTCATTCAGTATCCTCACAAACAGTATCTCATGCCTAGAAGCTTAAATAATCAAAATACCTTGTTAAAAGCAGCAACGCTTTTGTGAGGAACTGTACATAAAATGTATGAAGTGAATTCTTTTTCAGGGCTGGGAGGAAATTTCACGACTGTTTGTATCAAACAGGAACATGAAACATGCCTCAGAACAAAAAATTTCTGCTGTGAAAAAACTGCTGTGATATTTTCGTTTGCTCTCAAACACAACTGCATGTGAACATCTCTGTTTATGATTGAAATGCTGATTAGAAATTAACACGGGGGATCTGTTGATTTGTTAGCTTTAATTTTACTTGATTACAGTTGTTTCATATCACCATTTAATATTTGTCAATATTTATTTACCCTCATTTTTCACTTTTCTGTATACCACTGATTGGAGATGGACAATCAAGACATGAAATTGTTGGTGTTTAAACCTTGTCGTTTTCTACATATGTAATATTCTGAAGGCTGTTTTGCAGATGAAGTATTGTACTCTTCAACTCCAGGAGTCCATAGAAACAACGAGGTACACAGGCATTCTTGGGCCCAGGTGGTTTTGATTTGGGAGGCGTTTATGTGCCTTTAGGTCATTTATTATTTCAAGGGAAGCGAAAAGAACTGAAGAAAATGTTGCACTTTCAGACTGCTGGACACCCACAGATTGACCACTGGTCCTGCCAAGTCGAGGAGAGAAATTTTGGCATTTTTGGAATAAATGTAATCATAAAGGAAAATTATTGAAATGGAATAGATATTAAAGCAATAGAAAACTGAACAGAGCGCCTTGTCAGAAGTACTCACCCCTCTCCCCTTGATTTTATTTCTGCATTTTGTTCATTCCAGATTTTAGCATATTGAAATAACAATGAATTCAACACAAAGCAATCACCCCCAATGAATACATGCCGTACCTACTCCTCGAGTTGCAACTACAGTATGAGTCTTCTTGGATATGTCTGCATGAACTTTCCACATTTCAATTCTTCGGCACAAATTCACTCCATCTCTGCCAAATTAGAAAGTGTTGGCTTGCAGCAATGTTCAGGTCATACCAAAAATATTCAATTGGATTAATGTCTCAGCTCAGACTGAACCATTCCAGAATTATAAGCTTATAATCATTCCATCATACTCGTGTGTGTGTGTGTGTGTGTGTGTGTGTTTTATCGTCCTGCTGGAACATGAATATTCAATCAAATCCAGAGTATGCTGCTGCTGCCACCATCAAGTCTGATTATAGGGATTTATGGTTTCACCAGGGTGTTTGTGTCTCTGGTTTGTGGTAAACATCTTTGGTCTATTGATCAGAATTTTCTTTCTAAACTTTTTTTCTTTCAGGATTTTGTCACAACATTTTTGCCAGTCTACTTTTTCTATTTTTATATTCAACTTTTAGAAAATGTTATAACGTTTGTACAAAATAATCATCACCGTCGCATTTTTTTTAAACAAAATTGAGTTTCACCATTAAGTTTCAGTGGTAAAATTAATTACTTTATTTATGCCATGAATGATCATAAATATTCATGTTCAGTGTCTTTGTAGCGACATACCATTTTAACTATAATTTTGTCACTTGATATTTTATCTTTTTTTTTTTTTAAATCAATCCCTAATATGTTTCAGAGGTAAAAATGTATTTATTGATTGATTAATTGATTGATTGCATGAATGATTGTAAAATATCAATCTCCAGTGGTTTAATGACAACATTTTTTAAATCGTTTTAAATCAAATTTCTATAAAGGGGGCTATAAAGTATATTCTGATCTGTTGTTAGTTATGAAACTAACATTGATATTTATTGTGCAATCAAGCAGTTGAAGACAAGACTGTAATGTCTTCATAAGAGCTTTGCAAAAATATATAAATGTTTCTGGTGTTGGTAGGTTACAGCAGATAAGAGATTACTGTGTATCTAATCCTCACAACACATTTCACAACATTGCCTTATCTGTGATTCAAACAGGAGCTATATCACATTTGCGGCTGACTTGATTATAAGCAGTTCTTGCTAATCTATAAATCATATTGACCACATTTTCATGAAGTTACGAGTTAATATTCTGAGAAAGTCACCAAGTAGAATCTTGTCAGCTAACAGGGTGGACTGTGTTTTAAATCTGCAAAGACGCTGGATAAGTCAACATAATCACGCGCTTCCAAGCCTCAACATTTCCCGGCAATGCACGAATATGCACGTCAAACACTTTCCCTTTAAGGAAAAGACAGAATTTTACATAACTATGAGTCATCATTGACAATGCCAGAACATGTTTCAACCATATACTGAAGGATGAAGGTCTTATGCTAGCTTCTGACCCTTGGGTTGAGCATTTTCTTTCAGCGTTAAGAGATGAGCTCACCCGAAATATTAATGCATTGAGGCTATTCTGCAGGCAGACACGATACAACCTTCTACCACAGCTGGCCAAACGTCTGCAGAAACCAGACAGCACACCAGGCCAGGCAGAAGAATAGACCAGACACAACACTATACACATCCACTGCTATGGGAGAAGCACCACTCAAAGACTGACTGAAAAATGACCAAAAAAGCAAGAGCGTGTAAATACAAAAACCCTGACATAAGAGAAACCCTCTTCACCAACTAATGTGGAATAAAACGGTTTACTATCAACAGGGTAAACACAAACTCATTCTCAATGAGCGTTTCGGCTCTGGGGTTTTTCTTCTAGAATTATAGCAATGATTTATACATATAAATGGATAGTCAGCAATCTAGAAGCCAACATACCTTCAGTTAAATAGCTGAAATGCTCATTAGTGGTTGAATAAGTTTGCTAGTCTGGGATTTCAAAATGACTCCAAATGCTTAACTTTAGGAGTAAACACCTCTGTACTTCGGAAAATGCACACTACAGCGAGGCCAAGTCCAACATGCTGGATGAAGATGAGCTGCATTCACGTCATCTATACCACCATTCACATGTTTGGGATTGAATAAGACTTCTTTCTTTTTTTTAAAAGAAATTAATACTTTTTATTCCGCAAGGATGCATCAGCATATTAGATGCACCAAATCAGCATATTAGAATGATTTCTGAAGGATCATCAAAGACTTTGCCATAACAGGAGTACATTTTAAAATAGAAGTTATTTTAAATTGTATTTTTTCACAATGTTGTTTTTACTGTATTTTTGATCAAATAAATGCAGCCTTAGTGAGAATATGGGACTTCTTTCATACACATTTATCAATTTACCAACTCCAGACTTTTGAACAGTAGTATATATCTGTCAGACTACAAAATATTAATTTACAGTACATTCTAAAAATATTGTTGTAATATGTAATAATACAAATTATTGTTTCGTACAAAAATCTAGCTTAAAGTATATGTAAATGCATTTGTGGGAAAGATGCATTCAGTTTTGACATTTGTCTGACTTTGTCTCCTGTATGTGAGAAATTAAAAGAAAAGTAATTCAACAAACCTGATGCATCACAAGCAGCACTTGCTTTTTCACAAAATAAATAACAGATGATGTTTGAGGCACTTTCAAGACCATAGTTTATTTCATAGTAATAAGAAAGTATATACATTGGGGTCCCTTTATTGTGAGTCCTAAAGCTACACACATTATTTTAATTTTCTTTCACTCTCAGACACTTAAAAAATCCCCCATGTTTTAAGTTGACGCTTCCAAACAACTGGTGGATTTCCCAGTCCATCACTACAAACAGTTAACTATTGCGAAGCAACCATTTGCCATCATTGTGAAAGAAACAGAGCAAAACAAAAGCATGTTGATTTTTAAATTATTGATATAAAACTTAATAAAAATCAACAGAACGACAATACGCAAACATTGAAATATGACGACGGAATAATGGCTTTCTCGACACAACTTCATAGTGTAAAAAACTAAATTAAGTCATGCTTGTGCTAGTGTTAATATGCCAGGCAAAATGAAGATTGATACAGAGTTTGCTCATATGGTATGCAGCATGAATACACAAGAAACCATATACAGATTAAACTAGATTGTGACAGAATGCCAATCCATCCTACCATACTACCGCAATCAGCTAATGATAATAAAATATTATCAAAAATATACTGACTCAAGAAAATGGAATCTGCTCTTATAAAAGTCGCATTGAAGGTTATGATTTCTTTTAAAACCCATTAAAAGGTGAGAGTATATTAAATGAAAATCTTATTCAAGATTCCACCATAAAACATCCCTTAAAACCTTGAGGACGTGCGCAGACTTCTATATATCAGTGGCATAATATCTAAAGAAAATGAAGCTGTATGCTAAATGTACTGTATGTTTATTTTCAGGGAGGACATAGATTTCTTAGAGTTAAACTCTTGTGGTCCTCAAATTTAGTTTCTGGTAGGTATATGCAAAGGGTAGAAGGCCTCCGAGGAACTGAGTTACAGCCAATTTCTGAATCTAGCTCAATTAATGCCACGTCACAAAGAGCTACAGTACATACTGCACCTTGAGTACGCATACGCATACGCATATACGCATCCTGTAACCAATCTCAGGCACATAAAAGTACATTTTAAATCAATCTCTAAGTAACACAACAGAATGCTCATGAGAAATCACGACAAGAAATGTGTGAAGAGGTAGAGTTCGAAGTTGTGGGGTGTTTACAGACAGAACGTAGAGAATCAAGGAAATCGGAGGGAATGGTAGTAAGTAATTCTTTTTAAACGCTCATAATACACCTAGTAAATCCTGAACAGGTCCTCTAACAGCCTTCCCTAAATTTGCATTTAAACTAGCCATTAAAATAAGGTTTAATCTGTTATTATCATAACAGGATTTTGCCCTTGATAACCCTTTTGGTTTATTTTTAGGCTCTATTATTAGTATGAAAACAAATTGAATGAAAAATTATGACACACTGCAGTGTACTTTATTTTCTTGAGCATCTGTTGAGTCCAATTAAATGCATGAAACTGATAACAAAATGTAAAAATCTGATTGACAACTCTATTAGGTACCCAACACAGATGTCCAGACAAGAAAGGAATAAAAAACAAGCCATTTTGTGCAACTTTGACGCGAATGGTAATGTTCCAACAGTCTACGCTGAGAAGGTACCCAATTGCATTCAACTGAACAAACGATTCAAGAAGGAGAAAATAAACTGGTCCCCTTACCAAACAAAAGAGACACCCAATGATAGATCTTGCAGAGAGTAGCGAGGAAGGAATATCTACAAGGAAAGAAAACTGAGACTCCATTCTGACACACCAGGTCAATCCAACTCAAAGCTGATTTTACCAGTCCAACAGTTTTACATTTGATCTCACGTCCATCAGAACTGAACCTGCTTCATTTGGTGAAGGCAGCCACCACAGCCCACAGCAGCTCATTGGTGTTGTTCTTCATGCTCTCACTCTCAGGCTCCAGGTCCAGCAGCTGCCGTACTCTCTTCATGGCCAGATCATACTGGTCATCCAGCAGCGGGGCGAACGCGTTCTCTAGTACATCAGAGGAATGGGCGAGGAATATAAGGGCTAGAATACGTTTGTCCATTCGGTGAGGGTCGTTCACCCACTTGTCCAGCACGGCCTCCTGCACCTTCTTAATAAGGCGCTGCTTAATATTATTATTGGTAAGTGGGTGTGTAGTCATGTCGAACAGAAGAAAGTTTTGTTTCTCGGTGGTGAGGACGCCCTTCTCTACAAGGTTCTTCGCCAGGCGCTCTCGGACGTTACGCAGCTGATAGTGAAGCTTCAGTGGGTTCCATGTCTCGCCTGCAAAAGACAAGCACTTTCAGTGCCAAACATACTTATGTTCACTTTGTTTGACAAGGACAGAGATTTAACTAATCTGTCATAGTCAATATGACCTCTGAAAAACTCCATTTGTGACCGTAGACCAGTGGTCGCCAACCCGTCGATTGCAATCGACCGGTAGATCTTTATCACTGTCCCAGTAGCTCCTGAAAACAACAGAAAAATAAGTACAAAAAATACATTGTATTTGTCTTTGTACAGTATTTTTTGTACTTCGTTTTCTATTATTTTCGGGAGCTACTAAAGATACATCATGCCTGAGTCTACAAAAAGGTTAACAGAGGCCAGTCACACTGAAGAAGGATGCAAAGAGGAGAAAATACTGCAGCAGGCACAGCAAGCTCACTGTTCACGATGCTCAAAATATAGGAAGAAAATATTAATACTGAATTGGGGGTGAGGGGTTATATGAATGTATCTGAAGGGAACTGACGGTCTTCCGAAAAATTTCAATGCCAGTGGGATTTTCTTCTCCTCTTACCTCCATATAAAGTAGTATACAGCTTCTTTGTTTACAGCGATAACCAAGGAAACGCTGTATCGCTGCTGTTCCATGAGCGCCACCTGCTGTTAGAGAGCGAATGTGCGTCTCATTCAGCCCGTCTGCTGTTTCGGTTTCATGTTGATGTTTTTATTAGGGTTGCAAAAAGGTGGAAAATGTCCAGTAAATTTAGGAAATATTCCAGAAGTTTTGGAAACTTTCCAGGATTTTTTTTTTTTATATTCCGGGGATATTTGGAAAGTTTCCAGACATTTACCGGAAATGTTCCACTCCTTTGCAACCCTAGTTTTTATGTAGCATAATTTCACGACGATAATGTCAGACTGTTTTGTTTTTGCTTTAAATCATGAAATTGTACAATCTAATTCAAATCAAAAACAACTGCTCATGCAACATGTATGTAGCATATTTTGGATTGTGATTAAAATGCAGTGGTTACCTCTAATTTCAAATGACTACAGACATTTTTGTTTAAGGCCAGTTAGCTTGTTATAGAGCAAATGAACAATAAATTATTTTGCTTAAAAAAAATATATAATAATAATAATTGGCAATTTTGGTATCACAATGACAGCTGTTAAAAAGTCGGGCATAGGATACACAACTCCCATAAGGGTTGTATATTTGTGACAATTTACTGTATCTTATACAGTTGTTGTCAACATTTTAATGAGGAATTTATTGTAAATAGAAATGTAAATAAGGAAGATTTCATCACTGTTCAGACATCAGCAGCACAACGTGAGGTCAGAAGAAAGACATGAGTGCATTCCTTGAATGGGCCACACTGTTCTTGAAAATAGCTTTTTCTATTCTGTGTGATGGCTAGACGAATCTATAATAAACGTGCATTTATTATAAATGGATAAAACTAAATGCATAAAATAATTATAATAATAAATTATGGGTTGCACCATTACTAAATGTCTAGTTGATATCATTAGGATTTCACAGATTTAAATTATGGCAAATAACTGATAATTGGCCAATATAATAATTCTAAATTACTATGCCTTATTAAAAAGTAATGAAGTCAAATTAAAAATAAAAAAAATAAAATGACAAGAAAAAAACAAATTTTTTTGGAAGTGAATTTAAGCATAACAACATTATAATGTACGGTATGGACATTCAATTTGAGATTTGCTAAAGATTGCATTTATAATTAAATTATTAGTGGTTTTAATGACTTTAATGGCTTTGAGAATTAGATGACGGCAAAGGTAATCAAAATGTAATTAAATAAACGAATGAATGACTATGCACAAATAAATATCCAATATCAAACAATACTCAAATTTAAAAAGAAATCCCATTTATTGATATCTGCTCCTACAGGATTATTACATCATTAATAGGTTTTATAGGCTTTCTTCGAGATTTTAGCAGCTTGCAGTCTTTCACAAGTTGCTGACATTCAGTTTGAATGCAGAAGTCAAGCTAGAGTCCCTTGAGCGAGTACCACCAGCTCTGTTGGTCAGCTCCTGTGCTAAAGCAGAGAAGCACAGACATATCAGGATCAAAGCAGGCTGTGGTAGTGCATTTGCTAGTCATCATCCTGCAGTAATTTATGGCTCTGATCTAATTCGGAGCACATTTTTATACACTCTCTAAATGAGGACGGCAGCTCCTTCTCGCAGACGCTTTGATCTCACCCTTTGACCCTTTGGCTCTCCATACTGAGACATTTCCAACTGAGCTCATAGCCACAGTAGGTACCAGAAATCTGTCTCAAATCCGCTTTTTTAAGACCAAAGCGAGTCTGGATCCAGCATTTTTATGTGCACCAGGCACAGTACATTTAGAAGGTAGCAGGGCTCCAGACAAACAAACAAATAAATAAATCACTTAAGAAACCATTGGCTCCTATCAGAAACAATAATTTTTTAAGTGCCACAGAATAAACATGTTTTCTTTCTTTCTTTCTTTTTTAAACACCTTCCCCTGGTTTCACATACAAGGCTTAAGCCTAGTCCAAGACTAAAATGTAAGTCTGAGCTGTTTCAACTGAAAGAAGCTTGCACTGATTGATCTTAAAATGTGTCAGTGCCCTTGTTTTGTCTCAAGATGCACACCAGTAATGTTTTTTTAATGTTTATTAAAAAAATACTTAAATGTCCTAATTGAACTATGGCCTAATCCTGACTTAGTCAAAGCCCTGAAGCCAGGCCCTTAACATTTCAGCCATACTGTTATGCATTTATGTCTCCCCTCATTTTACAGCATTAGCATTTTAATCCATCTTGTAGATGTCCTGGGCACTAAGGTTCACTTAAAGTGGGAACTAAAAGTCTTTTTCAATTTGAGAATTATATATACAGTCACAAAGAATTGTTTAATACACAGAATCTGTGCCAATATCACGGACCATAATTTGGCCCTTGAGTGTAGTTTGGGCTCCTCCTCAAATGTTTGGGCTCCTGTTGTCATATGTCTTGCACACATCCAGTCTGTTTTTCTTCATTAGTAACATGCAATTGTATCTCTAACTCCATTCATTTTTTCTTATCATGTAGACAACAGGTTAAGTAAAAATATTAGTACGCAATATAGCGCAAACATTTAGCAAAATGCTCCTTCTTTACAGTTGTTTTTTCTAGATGACTAATGAGCTTATTAACGCCAAATGGTTATTCTGAGGTAAATGTATTGTTACGTGGCATTGTTTACAAGCTTTAAACATTTTCTGCCGTCTGAAACACTGAATGAGAGATTACATGAGACATTTCAGTAAGTTGTACTGTAGGCTCTCTTATAATATACCTTTTGGTGTCCATTCCTGTTTATTTCATACTATAGTAGTAAAGAGACAGATATGATGGGTTCACGTGCCAATTGAACTGAAGCTCATGCCGCTCATGCTACATTAAAGAGTGCCAAAACTGACGGTAATTGTTGTTTGAATTTTGTCATAAAATTTGGCAGAATTTTAAAGCTGATACTTTGGTTATTAAAAGATAACAGAGCACAAAGCCTATTGTGTCTATTGGGCGACAAGTGCGTTACTAATAATATGAAGTTCACGCATTAACAGAACACAGCATTTAGACTAAAGATCTTGACGACAAGAAGCCATATTAATATCGATTACAAACGAGAATTCTTAATATCCACACAGCTGACAGCTTTACCTGTTGTAGTTTGTTCAAGTTGTGCATGAACTAGACACTGCTTTTCTGCACTTTAACTTCGCATGTCTCCGTCATTTTCGATCTCTGCCACAACTGGAGCTGCTTTTAGCAGGTGTGTCGTCAACGCTGGTGTTCGGCAGAGATGAGGACTGTTTCCACTAAAACTTTGATGCGCATCGTCTCCGTTTATTACGTCAACATAACAAAAGATGTGATCTCAAAACAATCAGGAACAAAAGCATTATATGCAAATTTTTATGTCATAACATAAATGTATATAGTCGCCACTGGCGATCTCAGCAAAAATATCACTCGCAAATTAATATTTTTGGTTTTAGTCGCAGTCTGGAGCCCTGGTAACAATGGTTAAAATGATTCAATTCAATACAATTTAATGTAATCTAACACTACCATTTAAAAGTGTGGGGTCAGTAAGATTTTTTTCTTGGAAAGAAATGGATGCTTTTATTCAGCAAGGATGCAGGGAATTGATCAAAAGTGACAGTAAAGACTTTTATAATGTTACAAAAGATTATACATGCAAATAAATGCTGTTCTTTTTAACATTCGGTTGATCAAAGAATCCTGAAAAAATGTATCATGATTTCCACAAAAATATTAAACAGCACAACTGTTTTCAACATTGATAATAATACTTTTTTTTTTTCTTGAGCAGCAAATCATCATATTAGAATAATTTCTGAAGGATCATGTAACACTGAAGTAATGGCCATCACAGGAATAAATTACATTTTAAAATATATTATTAAAATCGTTATTTTTAATGATAACAATTTCACATTATTACTGTTTTTACTGTATTTTTAATCGAATAAAAGCAGCCTTGATGAGAACAGGAGACTTCTTTCATAAACATTAAAAACAATTTACCAATCACAAACTTTTGAACAGTAGTGTATAATATAACCAATGAATATTAGTCTGGTCAATAACAACTATAATAAAAATAATCATAATAATAAATGAGTTTAAGAAGTAATGTTTATTTTTTTCCTCTAAAGCCAAAGTAAGGCATTAAGGTAATCCGAATAAAAAATGTCAAGACTGAAGAACTCAAATGATATGTGCAAAACTCACCACTAAGTAACTCAATCCAGCCCTGTACGGTTTCGGGCGGCTGTGTGTCTTTTATGTGTTTCAGAGCCTCATCCAAAAGCACATCTCCTGTTGGAGCATCAGACTTACATATAACCTTAAAAAAAAGACAAGAAAAACATCACTGAACACATTAAAACGCGCTAATGCACAAAGCACCACTTACATCAAGAGGATAAAATCATGTGAAGGAGATGAACTGCTTCAACTGAAGACCAAAGAGTTTTACCTCATATATTAAATGTAATGCATTTTCCAGGGATACATCTGAGCTTGGTTTAATAATAAAAGTTCTCACTTACAACAGCCAACACCAACCACAAAAAGTGGCTTCCTGACACACAATTAATATCAAAGAGCTCCCTCTTGTGGGAGAACGAGCCATACACAATTGTATATGTACTGACACCAGAGTGCTGAATTTTACAAGCACATAAAAAATATATCTTCTGAATTAGTTCTGTCCAGTTATGTGTTTGTAGAAACCTCTACCATCAGTACAGCCAGATTGTGGTCTTACATTACATTTGTTCATACAATGAAAGTAAATGGGATCCACTGCTGTTTGAACTCCAGCATTATCCAGTCTTTTTTATGTTCCAGAGAAGAACAGAGGTTTGGAATGACGTGAGGGTGACTAAATGATGACAAGTTCATTTTTGGGTGAACTATCCCTTTAAATGCTTGTAGAACTGAGGGAGGGATACAAAACAGGAAGCCTCTCCCTATCAGATGATTATTACCAGAGACTGAACAGTTTGTCTAACCTTCCGAGCAAGCAGGCTTTTCCTCCTCATGCCACAGGCCTCCAGCTGCAGTCTCCCTCGCAAGGCCAGCTCAATGAGCATGCAGCCCCGCAGGCCTGATGAAATGCAGTCATTCCAGAAGGAGGTGTAGCCCTTGCACAAAAACAAAATGAAGAAAGTCAGTATACATGCCCCATCGGAGTTCAGAGCTTCAGTGTAACTAAAACTTCCATCCAAATGTTTTGTGAACAAAGACAAATGTTCAAACACCGTTTACAGATGACGCAAAATGATAAACACTGCTAATATGGACTCCAATTGTTTTGTGTAAAGACCAAAAGATCACACAAGGATGTCATTTCAGTCAGCACAAATAAGAAACAAACCCCACCGCCAAAAAAAGCGATCTGTAATGTTTGAATGTGAATGTAAGATTTGTCATAAATGAGAAAAAATTTAATTAAATCTCTCTCTCTCTCTATATATATATATATATATATATATA